AAAAAAAAAAAGCAAATTTGAAATATAGAATAAAATTTTTATTCGGAGAAAGAAATATAGAATAAAATTTTTCGTACGAGACTTTATCATTATCGAAAGAGGAGAACGTTTCGCAGATATTTTCTCTGGGAAAACATTCTCGAGAAGAACAATTTGTAGTACAAGAATATTAATATTAAAAGTAACCTAATTGAACACAGTTAAATTTTCTAATTTTTCTGAGAATGGAGGAATAATTTTGAAATCAAGTTGAATGTCTATCCAAACATAGATAAGAGCGTTTTAATTTCCTTAAACAATGGCGAGACTGGTAAGCGACTTCAAAGTTATAACAATAGCCAGTAAAGGGTTAAATTCATTTGCTTGAAAATTGTACCCCCTTATACTTTACCATGAATGACAAAGTTTCAAATTTAGGATACTTAATTATACGATTGTATAAATTCTAATTACTTGAAAGCGTCAAGTCGTTTAAATTACGTCTCCATAGAAATGTTGCGTTTCATCGCGAAGATAGTTCTATTTAAACAATAACTATAAAAGGTAAGAAACTGTTACTCGCGAATTCCACATCGTAAATATAAATGAAAAAATTTTTTTTACAAATAAAAGATGTCGAAGAAAGATTTTGAATTTCGAATTTAAAAGTAACGATATTGACGAATTTTTAAATCTAGATGATTATTTGCAGATTCTCATCAGTCATCAGTCGTTTATTTCTTTATTCAAACTATTCAGAAATCGATTTTAATATTTCAACTATTAATCATCACAACTGTCAATCACCAATGCTCCAGATTCTGACGATCATCAATTTTCAAATCTCGAAACTAATAGTTTGTACTCTTAATTATTATACCCAACAACTGAATAATTTTAACATTTTAACATTTTATCTTAGTTTAATTCTTCGTCTAACATCTAATATTTTCAATCGTTGATTTTTCCAAATTTTTATTTTCTCATTCACCAATTTTTAAATATCATGTACGATATAAAGTAAAATTTATCAGATCATATACAATAGAATTGAATGTTTTTTTTTTCACCTCAATTGATCTTAATACGTGATATTCGTAACACTGGTAAAATTTTAACTCTCAAATCTGATCTTCAAATTTTCAACATTTAATCTCCGAGTGATGTCGCGAAGTACTTTCCATCGTATTAAAAAAGCTGAAGTTGTTTAATTTTATTTTTTGTATTTTTATATGACAGAGAGATCAGTTAGAGATCAATAGAA